TATGTGATATTTATTATAATTTATTTTTAGGTTCATTTATGTCCCTACGCCACATACTGCTGAGGTCATTTATGATTTTTTGGTAGATTGTTTGATGGATTGGAATATTGATAGAAAATTGTCAACATTAACCGTTGATAATTGTAGCACCAATGATGCTCTGATTGACCATTTGATTGATAAGATGTCACCTTCTTCTTTTATTTTAAAAGGGAAATTGTTTCATATGCGTTGTTGCACCCACATATTAAACTTGATAGTGAAAGATGGCATGCAAACAATTTCTAGTTCAATTGAAAAGATTAGGGAAAGTGTCGGTTTTTGGGTAGCAACACCAAAGAGGGAGGAGAAATTTAAAGAAACTTGTAATCAATTGAACATGACTTATGAAAAGAAGCTTGCACAAGATTGTAGAACAAGATGGAACTCTACTTATTTAATGCTTGCTTCTGCATTGCCTTACGAACAAGTTTTTAAACGTTTAAAACAACGCCGTGATTCCCAATATAAGTGTGCACCAAGTGAAGAAGATTGGAAAATGGCAAGAGAAATTTGTGACAAGTTGAAATTATTTTTTAGTGTCACTGAGTTGTTCTCGGGTACTAAGTATCCAACATCAAACATTTATTTTCCCAAAGTTTGTCAAATAAGATTAGCTTTAAGAAAGTGGGAAGATTCTTCTAGTGATACTATACAAAGTATGGCAAGAAGTATGATAGTGAAGTTTGACAAATATTGGAGTTTGATTAATGGGGTGATGGCAATAGGGGCTGTTTTGGATCCTAGATATAAAATAACTTTGTTGAATTACTTCTTCCCACTTATGTATGGGAATAATGCTCCCAAAGAATTGGAAAAGGTAATACAAATGTGTGAAGATTTAGTTGAAGAATATCAACCAAATAATGATATGGTTCCTACAAGTAGTGAAGTTGGTGCATCAACATTGGTAGATGACATTGATGTCACAAGTCAAGATTGGGAGAAGGCTTATTCGGAATATGTGATGGAAAATACTTCAACTACAAATGTCAAGTCATATTTTACTTCCTACTTGGAAGATGGTGTCTTGCTTGATAAACAAAAAAAGGAAAATTTTGACATCTTAGGATGGTGGAAACAAAATGGTTTGAAATTTCCAACTTTGCAAAAGATTGCAAGGGACTTTTTAGCAATTCCTATCTCTATCGTTGCTTCAGAGTCCGCCTTTAGTACTAGTGGTCGTGTTTTAAGTCAACAACGTAGTAGGTTGAAGGAAGACACTTTAGAGGCTTTGATGTGCACTCAAGATTGGATCCGAAAAGATATAAAAGGTAATATATTTTTATCTTTTACAAGATTAATTGAAAAGGATTTTTAAATTTTAATTTAGCTATTTGTTTCTTAGGTTATTCAAAAACGTTGACTCAATTCGAATGTGTGGATGAAGATATGGATGATGATGATGATGATGATAATAAGGTAATTTACATATTAGTGTTGATTACCTTTTAGTTTTTAAAGTATTTTTTTAAGTAAATATAATTATTGATTGTTTACTTTTCGTAGGAAAAAGAAAGTCATATCTAATTGTGGAATGAGGAAGAAGACCTTGCAAGGAGAAGTTGGAAAGAGAGACATGATTGATCATTACTTGTTTGGATATTTTGCTTAATATTTTAGTTTATTTATATGTAACTTTGTTTTAAGTATTTTGATATTTCTACTTTACGTGTGTTATCAATTGAGCAAATAGAGATATGTTGACTTTTGCTTTTAGTTGACTTATTATGAAGTATTTTTTAGCTTTTCAAGCATACTCATGATGCTAAATTTTATAATTATCCCTTATTAGTTTTGATGAAGTATAGTTTTTTAAGCATAATTATGTTGTTGGATTTTTTTAGTTGTTTAGGCATATTGTTACTTTAAAAAGTATTATAGTTCATTTTGTTGAATTTTATAGCATTTTATAGAAATTTATAAAAAAAATATTATTATTTTGTGTTCCATTAGTATTTTTAATAAAAAATAATAAATGTCAAATACTAGTATTTTTTAATAACATAATAAATATGTGAATTCTTTGTGCTTTTTATTTTTATAGAAAATATAAACATTTTAAAAAAATAAAATATTAATGAATAAATGTAGGATCTATGGGGATCCCTGCGGGGAACGGGGATCCGCGGGGAACGGGGATGGGGATAGAAATTCCCCCGTGACGGAGATCGGGGACGGGGACGGGGAATGAATTTGATGGCGGGGAAAAAGATGGGGAAGTGTCCCCCCGGCCCCGCCCCGCCCCATTGACATCCCTAAAGAAGAACATGGACATAGAAGACTAGGATCACTTTAATTAAGGTGGTGTGTTGTGGAAAAATCAGTAATTCAAGTGTTGTAACCGGTTACTGAATTTTTGTAACCGGTTACAGGGTGTGGTATTTTTAGTTGTTAGAACGGTGTAACCGATTACTACGTTTCGGTAACCAGTTACCACTGTGTTGAATTTTAATTGTAAAAATTGCTATAACCAATTATAGATTTTGTGTGATCGATTACAGGTAGACTGTTTTTTCTATTATTTTCTGTTTGTTGTTTCTTGTATCCCAATTAAATATAATTTATATAATATCTAAGAGATATCTCAATCTATATTAATAAACATTCTCACCCTCATTATACCTTTTTTTAATTCTCTCTCTCTCTCTCCATATTCAATTGCTCTATTTTCATCAACCTTATGATTTAAAATTCTAACCTAATTTAGCATGTAACAGACCTTACCATCTTAGTTGTTGCCTCTCTCTTATAAAACAAATAATCCCAACACACATAAATGAGAACCTCGTTACACTACGCCGAAAAAGACTTACGAAAGCGCTTTTTTTGGCCTTTAAAAGCGCTTAAAAGCGTTTTCTAAGATGGCGCTGCTATAGGTTTTAGCAGCGCTTTTTGTTTAATGAAAAGCGCTTTCGTAGGTCTACCTAATACAACACTTTTTCTAAAAAGCGCTCTCTTAAGTAGGCTTTTGGCAGCGCTTTTTTATGAAGAAGCGCTTTCATAGGTCTACCTAAGGCAGCGCTTTTTCTGGAAAAGCGCTCTCATAAGTTTTCTTTTAGCAGCGCTTTTTTTTGGAAAAGCGTTGTCTTAGGTAGGCTTTTAGCAACGCTTTTTTCTGGAAAAGCGCTTTCATAGGTGGTATTTTAGCAGCGCTTTTGCCTGGAAAAATGCTGTCATATGTTTACCTTAGACATCGCATTTTTGTGAAAAAGCGCTTTCATAGGTTACCTAAGGCAGCGTTTTTCTTGAAAAAGCGCTTTCATAGGGTATTTTTTTTAGAGGTATAATTTATATAATTCATATACCTGCATTGTTTGCAGCATATTATTTATATAAACCAGTTGTCATAACCTGTAATTCATAAACCGCGGTAATGCATTGTATACCATTGTAATCCAAAATATATACACCATTTTTGTACCTCAAAATATATAAAAACCATTGTTATCAGCATTGTAACTCAAAATAAGTCTTACAAAATCAACCCTAACAACAACTAAATCAGTCCTAATGTATGAAAGAAACACAGTCAATTATGTATTAAGGTCCTGGTCCTGCGAGGTTTGAACATAATAACACAGTCAATATGGTATTCCATGTACACATGTAACGTATTCATAACACTTTTCACATAATAATGTATTCATACCTTATATGATTCTCTGCTCAATAAAATATTGACACAATTCCTCTTTGATTTCTTCCAACTGAAGTTTCGTGTAATATGCACATTTGTATTCATCGAAGTACTACATAACAAAACATAATATGCATGATTTAGTTAAAAGTAAAAAATTATATGAAATATCCGAGAAATAATAAAACAAATCCTAAGTTATAAATCCATACCGTGACTGGAATCTCTATTTGATTCAGTTGAAGGATTTCTTTGATAAACCGCATAACGAAGTATCCGCAATCTATATCGTTTTGCTGTTGAGGACACTACATAGAAAAACAAATAAGAATATATAGTTGTATTGTTTTATCAAATAGCATAAATATTATAAGCAATATAGTGGAAATTAATATACCTGCATTTTGATCCAATTAATGTTGTTTGATTTAGACCATCGTACCCGAGCTGAAAATCCTCATGAAGAAGATTCTTATATATAAATGTCTGTGAAGAAAGAAAAGAAAATATTGATCACTAGATAACACCAATAATGTGAAGCAAAATATATTAAAGTTTGGAAAAGCTACAAAGAACCAGTACTTCTTAGTCATTGGAAAAAAAAGTGCACATTAAAAAGGTAATCAACTTTTAACCCAATAGCACTAGAATCCAGTAAGGGGAAAAAACTAGTAACAAAAAAGGATGCAAAAATGTTCAACAAAAGATGCATTTTAAATCTGTTTCCATAAAGAACACAACCCTTTTCAAAAGAAAAGCAATCCCAGTTAAAAAAATAAGAAAAAGTCTACACTTTTCAGAAAGAAACCATAACTCTTCAGAAATCCCAGTTCAAAAATCCACTTTTCAGAAAGATACCTTGAAATTGAATACTCAGGCAAAAGTATAAAGTAACACTACCTTATAAACTAAATCTAATTTATTTAATCCTAAAACAAACACATGAATGCATTACAGTACTATTATAACGTGAAATCTCTGCATGCTCACATATTCAGAAACTTCCTAATCACTTTGTTATTCATTATCATAATTTCTAGACATAAAGTTTCTCTGAAAAAGGTCTGTCGGTGAATGTGTCGGTGATTGAATATCCGACACCGATATTTATGATTACATTTAATTTTTTTTATTGTTATCGGTGTTAACGAGTCAGTGTCAATTATCCTTCGGAGTCCATGCTTTAGAGCTCATTATTTCTATAAAACTCACATCATGAACACAAATTCAAACTACAAAACCCTAAATATAAAATCACATGCAAGCTAAAATTTTGATCCCAGCCCAGAAAATCAACAATCATCAAGAACAGAAATCCAATTCAATTCAATAAAAAAAAGATAAAACCCCTAACCTGAAGAGCAAACAACTTCTGAGCATGAAATTGTTCAACACTATCTTTCCCAAACTTGGCTTGAAAATCCTCACAAACCTTCCCGGACACCAAACAGCTTCTAATCCTTTTCCAATTACCCCCATCCGTAACCTTATTCTGCAACCAATTCGAATAATCCCCAAGCTTATACTCCTTATACCCGCGATTGGAGACCGCTTCACCCGCCCCTTTATTAGTAACAACAAAGGCAAAGATGGTGAAAGCGAAAAGAAGAACAATGAGTAAGAACATGACGAGGAGGTAGAACTAGAGAAGCCACGAAACTCTGCAACAAGCACCGATTAATTCCATGGGAGAAACCACCAAGAGGAAAACGCCGAGGGCGATGATTGGCTTCTCGAGGAAGCGTTCGCATTCGGTGGTGGATTGTTTGTGGAGCCATACGCCCATCACGAGGATGGGGATTGAGAGGAGCAGGGTTAGGAAGTTGAGGAGTCCGATTAGGTTGTTGCTGAATCGAAACATGGTTGAATGTTGATTAAGAATGTGATTTAGGGTTTATTTTTATAGTGGAAATAATTGAAATTGTGTTTTGATATTTATTATAAAATTACCTACGAAAGCGTTTTTAAAAGCGCTTTCTAAAAGTCATCTATAACAGCGCTTTTACATCAAAAAGCGCTTTCGTAGCATATCCTATAACAGCGCTTTTAAAAGCGCTTTCTAAAGGCCAGCTTTAGCAGCGCTTTGGAAAAGCGCTTTCTAAGGCTGACCTTTAGCAGCACTTTTGAAAAGCGCTTTCTTAAGGTACCCTCTGAAAGGCCAGCTTTAGCAGCGCTTCCCAAAAAGCGCTTTCTAAGGGTGACCTTTAGAAGCGCTTTTGAAAAGCGCTTTCTTAAGGCACCCTTTGAAATCGCTTTTTTAAGCGAATTTTTTTTAAAACCTACAGCAGCGCTTTTTTCCAAAAGCACTTTCTTTTATGTGCTGCTAAAACTTATTTTTGGCATAGTGTTAATACTATGTGAGTCAATATAATATTTTGATTTAACTCACAAAATGTTTTTTTATTAGCTTTTTTTAATTTATTAACATAAGTAGCGTATAAATATAATAATATATTGTTTTTGCTTATATTTAAAGTGCAAATAACCGATATATGAATACAAATACTTGTATTGAGAGGGTGGAGTATATATATTTAACCATGCATTTAATAATATAAAACGAGTATTTCTCAAACTGTCGTATACAATAGATGGTACCCATTTTATTCGTTGTTGATCCTATAAGCTAAACTGAAAACCATAATCTGGCAAATCATTCACAAAACTAAGATACATTACAGCGTACTGTCTAAAAAAAGTGTTGGGATTTTAACATAGAAAGAAGTGATTATGGGATAAGTTTCTGCTGCCTAAATCCCATGATGCATAGTAAGATCCAGCAAATTGCAATGCATTCTTATACTTAATGCTCCAATAAGAAATCATTTTTCTCATTCAATTGTGTACTAATAATAATATTTTAAAATTTTAATTAATATTCAAACACAAGTGATTAGTATCAGGTTTATCAAAATTTAATTAACTTTGGAAGTTTATCAAAGACCATAAAACTTTTGGTGTTGGGGTAGGAGTAGAAACATGTGGAGCAGGAAGTGAATGGAGTGACATAGATTGTCCATTAGTAAGGTTAATAAATACTGTATTTTGCAGAACCATGTGCACCATTCTGCTATGGTACCACCACCCAGAGGTTAATGAGTTATTATAGAGGGTTTAGTATTTAAATATCTGTGTTTTATTAAGGGGTAATGTAGGCTAATTGTTTGTCAATAAGACAATATTGTAGTAGATTTTAAGATTTGGTTTGTCTATATTCATTTTGTGGGCTACGAGAGACAACCCTATGTTCAACTACTCGATCAAAGACAACGTTCATTGGACCGTTTTCAAGTACAAAGATACTAGTATAGAGTATGTCTGACTATTTTCAAATATTATTTCAACGGTAAAAGTAAAAAAAAATAAAGAATTCACAATTTATTATTGACTACTTATATTTAAGTGTATTTTTTTACTCTATAGGTAAAGACATGATTCATTAGATTTGAACACAAAAAAAAATCATATTTTTTCTCTCTAATTTTTCTATTTAGCCTTTCATAACTCTTGTTTGTAGTTCTAAACATCTTAGTGAAGTGGATTCCAACAATAACCCTTTTAACACTTAAAATTCTATTAACTATCCTTTCAACTACCAAAATCCCAACAACTATATATTTCAAAATCAATCTTCCAACCAACAAGGTCCCCAAAATATATCAAACTATAGATTTCCTTCAAATTTCATAATATCGTCATCTAATCCAAATTATCGTCCATATTATAGATCAATGATGTCATATTCATCTCAATCACCCCTGATTATTCTTCTACTCCAATGGAAAATAAAAATGTTCTGAATGTTGGACTTAATGAATTTCCTGAATTTTCTACACAAATGGCTCTTGGTGCCATGAGTAGTGGTCAATGAGCCACTCCAAATGCAGAGGATTCAACTCCTCTACGTTGGGAAAGTCCCAAATGGACTACTGATAAAATTTTGATTCTAATTAGTGGGTGGATTAAATATGGAACAAACAGTGTTGTTGGGAGAAACCAAAAAAGTGATTCATATTGGGGGGAAATTGTTGATTACTGTAATGAGCATTGTTCATTTGATCCTCCCTGTGATTTTTTTACTTCATTTCTTTTCCTTTTTTACTCAAATCTCCTTTGTAGCCATTTCTACTCGAGGTACCTAAAATAGGATAATAATACCGGCATAACAAGACATAAATGAAAGAAAACTAAACTAAAATCCATGTGAGTCAAGTAAAAAATACGATATAATTTTGCGTTATCACTTGTAACTCAACTCCCATGCCCTATACTTGCCCTTGAAGAACCCTCTTGTAAGTTCAAAACCCTAATTTATTTTCTGTGTAATTCGTTTTTCATTCTTTCTTGTGTCGTTAATTCTCAATGTTAGGGTTTTTAGTTTCTCTTGATTTTGATTAGCTCAAGTTTCTTATTACTGTTTAAGAAAGTGGTTAAGATGGCATGGATGAAAGAAAGCGATAGGAATGGAAAAGAAAAGGAGTTAGGTGGAGATAATGGTTTTTCTAAAGTGAAAGAACCGTCTGTTAGTTCTGGTGGTGGTACTATTTCGGTGAACAAAAATCGAAAGTGAAAAAAGATATTTAGTTAAAATCCATAACAAACTTTGATTAATGGAGTAGATGGAAGAGACTTGTTTGCGTCGTTTTGAAAATTAAGAGACTAATTCGAAACGAAAAAAGATAAGAGACCAAAGTGAACTATGACCTATAATTAAGGGACCAAAATGGGTATTTTACCTTTGTATTTTGTCACATTATTTGTTTGTAGTTTATCACACTATTTTGTTTGTAGTTTGTATTTTGTCACATTATTTGTTTGTCGTTTGTCACATTATTTTGTTTGTAGTTTGTATTTTGTCACATTATTTATTTGTAGTTTGTCACATTATTTGTTTGTAATTTGTCATATTATTTGTTTGTATTTTGTCACATTCTTCCATTTCAACCACTCAATTTCTTATAAATGGGGGCTCATTCTTCCATTGATGTATCAATGCCAAAAATCTCATATTACTAAAAAAATATCAATGGATCCTTCATAATTTCCTTTTGATATCGAAGCTTACAAAAGGCAGTATGAAATCAAAGAGAGGTATATCGTCAACCGATTCAGGGAGTGACGAAACCAAATAGAGGGAGGATATACACATCATGTCAAAAGAAAACATCTCAACAGAGATCATGCAGTGGCAAACCAAAGACTAATTGACGACTACTTTGCAGACCAACCTACATATGATGATGCAATGTTTCGTCAGCGATTTCGGATGTAGAAACATGTGTTCCTTCAGATCATTAGGGACCTATCTAAATAGGAGGTACTACATCATTGGAGTGCTTGCGTAGATTATGTAAAGGAATCATACAGTTGTATAAACTTGTGTATCTCAGAGCCCTAACTCAAGATGACCTACAAAGAATACTGCATGTTAGTGAAATGCGGGGGTTCCCGAGGATGATTGAGAGTATTGATTGCATGCACTGATAATGAAAAAAATATCCTACATCATGGGAAGTTCAATTTACTCAGGGAGATAACAGAACCACCACTGTTATTCTTGAAGCAGTTGCAACTTATGATCTATGGATTTGGCATGCCTTTTTTGGATGTCGGGCACATTGAATGATAGAAACATTCTAAACCGTTCACCTGTGTTCGATGATGTTGAAAATGGAAATACTCCAAGAGTGAACTTCTTTGTGAATCAACGTCCGTATAATATGGCATACTATCTTGCTGACGGTATATACCTTTCTTATCTTACTTTCGTCAAGTCAATTAGACTTCCTCAAAGTGAACCAGATAAGTTATTTGCAAAATATCAGGAGGTATGTCAGAAGGACATTGTACGTGCATTTGGGGTGTTGCAGACTCGAATATTCAACCAAATTTCCAGCAGAAGCCTATAGCCATTTTCCTAATAGGTTTTCTAACTGTTCCTAACTCCCCCTAACCTCCTAGTTAACTATAACTAATCCAACCAACTATCAAAACATAATAACTCCTTCAAAAACCCCTAACTGTTTTCCCTAACAGTTTCTAACCTCTCAACAAATTAACCAAAAACCTAATTGTCCGTAACAGAAAAATCTCCAAAACAGAATCCCTAACTAACCATCTTAACAACCTCTAACTTCCAACAAAATCTCAAAAGCAGATAACAGAAAAGAGAGAGAGAGAGAGATAACAGATTTGAAAAAATAGAAAAGGGGGAAAGGGGGGAATTTCATGACTCAGTTTACACAGGAAAGATAAATCAGAAAAACTCACCTTGGATTTTCTCCCTCCATAACGGTTTTTGGAAATTCTTCAATCCTCAACTGACTGTAACCGGGATCCTCAAGCTTCTTCATCAATTTTCTTCAATCTATCTCCTCAATATCAAGCTACCGCCATCCTCTTCACCTTCATCGCATCAATTGTCTTCATCTTCTTCATATCATCGCATAGTAACGGCAATATTTCACAAGGGCAAAGCAAATTCAGAAATTCCAAAAGAACGCAAAAGAAGAAAGAATCGAATGAGGTAGAAGAGGAAGCAAGCATAAAATCGAACCATTCCTGAGCAAACAGATTCTCCTCTCTGGTCTTCTCTCTTTATTTTCATCTTCAAAATACTCAACAACC